TGGTCGTTTGCTAAAGAAAGTTTAAATGAATAAAAGTGTAATAAATAAACTGTCTGTTGTTATTTACCTATTTATTTTTAACATGAGAAATTACCAAATTACTTTAACGCTATTTTATGTATAAAAAGACGAGAGGCCTCAATAAAAAAAGGTCGAAAGGTTACACTAAGTCATTAAGATTGATGTCCAAGATTGGTCTTCAGTAAAAAAGTTTTGAACGTTCCATCTTACTAATATCCAGCCATATATGAAGATAAATCTATGCCCTAGAGAAAGCGTTTCTAATCTTCCAGAGAGCCTTGACACTGTTTCTTAAAATAGAACAGAAGCGCAATGTGTAAGGTTCAAAGATTTGGAGAACAACCGCAATTCCTCAATTCAATACAAAATTTCCAGAATGTTCCATACGATGTACTGTTGACAAAATCATGATGATTTCCACGTTCAAACATCACAGCACTGCAGTAAAACATCAAAAAGTGTATCTGTTAAATTGGACTACAATACTCACCAATACGAATGCCGTGAATAAAATCGATACTTAACTGCACACCAAACACTTTTTTGTCTACCGTACACATGTTCACGAACGCTTACATAGCAAGGTGTTGTTCGGAACAGTCCCTAAAGAGTTTCGTTTGCGGCACCAAATTGAATTTCCGTTTCGATACATTTAGATAACACTTGGGTATTATTTTGCATTCTGTACTTATACTTTGCAATGGAGTTGTATTTGGGTTGCGGCGTCGCTATTTTACCCTTTCAAATGTACAGGGTTACACTGGAGTCTCGTTGTATGTCTCTCGTGTTTTGAGTGAGCTAACAAATTCCACAACCAAAACGCCTTGCTTGACTTTTAATTCCGCCAAAAAGACAATGCGGTTGCTTGAAGCTGAAGACAAGATAACACCTGGTTAACAATCTTTTGTGAAGATGTTTTATGTGGAATGGAACCATATTTGCGTTAAAATGTTACTTGCTCACTTTTATTGATTTCATACAGGAACCAAAGCTATGCGTAAGACAGCTACCAATTTGTCCCTGCCAATAGGGACGTAAATTTGGCAGATAAAGTTACATCCTATAACAAGAAATAGTGGGGCAATAAATAAAGGTTTTCTCTGTTATTTTCATTCGATCCAAAATTGCAAGTCACCAATACGAAATAGTGTCATTTAGGTTGAAAATATGAACAGTAGTAAAGTATCTGATATATTGATGGTTGTTAGGCGTCCTCCTCTGTAAGTGCTCCCTGTTTACTCTTATTGACCCTTATAACTTTCATACGATGACGGCCACCTAATAATATACTCAGTTCACCTTCACCTTCTTTTCGTAGCAATTGGAGGTAAATAATTCGGACGGACCCATTTTCGGTAATAGGCACGCGTTGTCCTGACGTGCTTGTACCTAATTAGTAGACACGTATCTTTCTAGGTGGGAAGTAATAATTAAGTTCTAGTATATTCTACAGATAACTAACCTAACCTAATAACTTTAGCCTGTATTGGAATCCTTGGTGTTAACATATATAGAGCGACGTCCACTTTTGCGGTCATCTAGAGGGCAAGGCTAAGTTAGCCTAAGGCTAAGAAGCTAGGTGTGTGCTTAATAGATCAAGGCAGAATTTAACTACGGGGCACCGTATCGCATCACCTTATAAAGCGCAGGTTCGGCCCCACATGGAATACTATGCTCAACCCTGGGCGTGGGAGACCCAGTTCATGCCTCTCTCTGAACCACATTCAGCGACAAGCCGTTTAAATCTTGGACCGCTCTGATGACCGTGAATCCGGTTGGACTCTTTAGCACTGCGTAACCTGCCAAACCGATACGACCTTCAAACTCTCAAGAAACATGCGTTCTTCTTTGTAAAGGCCGCAACTCGCCTTTGTCTCGTCTGATGTCACTGATCATTTACCATCAGGTGATCCGAAAGGTCGTTTATTTAGCAAAAACTGTTTTATAACAGAAATTATAAACAATGTATTATTTTTAGTTCGTGACAAAATCTCTCCACGAAAATAGAAGAAATATTTTACGGGATTTCTACTAATTAAGTATTGTATTAAAGCGTGGGGTATTCAGCTCAGGTTCGGGTTCGTTGCTTCGGGCGTAGTGATTATATTATAAGAAGTTATAATCTCCCGTGAATTTAGGAAATTTAGACGGTTATTGGGAAAATGTGGGTGTAATACATTTAAATCCAATCCCGATCTTCGTGGAAAAGTTATGCTTTTAAACATTTTATATTAGGTAATATTATACAATTGCTTTGCATTAAATGTATTTATTTTATTTCACAAAATCAGTTTTCTAAGAAAACTACTTACAGTGTACTTGAACACTGTCATCCCACTGTCCTAATTGTATTGTTAAAGCTACTATTATCTATAAATAAAAAAAACATCACAGCCCTAGCCAATGTAAACTTTAACCACCAATCACAATAATTCATATTTATTATGATAACTGAATTCATTCGTCCATTAATTTTATGTAACCAATCAGCTGTCAGAATTGACTCGAGGCAATTAGGGGTGGTGCTGCAAGAGTGATTTAAGTAAAACTTTGTTGTTTACGTTGTTGGACTTGGCGATTGTCATTCAGCTAGCTATTAATCATGAGAGCTTTGTCTCGAGATGCAAACAGCTCATAAATAGTTCGTTAAGGGGTGTCTTTAAGAATTTGTTTTGTTTTGACGAATAGCTTTAAAATTACGGCCCGGGGTCTGCGTTTCGCTACTCAGGCTGATAATGGATCTTTTTTCCGTTGTTTTGATTTTTTTTTGCACAGCTTCCTTGTTTTGATAAAATAATTTTACGGGACTTCTGTTACAGATACCTATTCGAAAAATAATTGTATCTTACTTTGAAAGTTTTTAAAAACACGCGTCTGATATTTTAATTTTAGGTCTTGAATAACGTTTGAATAAAACACAACTCGCTCAATAGAACTTCAGAAAACACAACGTGAACAACATTTTTGTTCGATCCATTAATTCTTGAACATTACATAAAAGATAACATTTGTACTTACACAGTTTTATGTGGAGCACACTTAACTTTAGTGTGTAAAGTGAACGGTCTAAAATGGCCCCGGGTTAGGCGGTATAGGTGGATAATCCGTCCTCATCAGCCATTCGACCGCACAAAGTGTTGTTACGCATGTCTAGAGTTATCCCCATCTATCTTCAAGGGGACCGTTTAAGAATGGACAGGACAAAGAGCTGGCCATTACGACGCGCCTTGAAATTGCAACTTGCTCAACAAAGGACTTTGCTGTCTCATGTCTATTCAATTACTCTAAAGGTCAGCAGACGGGAGTATCTACATCTACCTACTTGCCTCACAATATCTTTCTAAAGCCACAAAAGCTATAATTACGTAAGAAGAAGTACCTTAATTGTGTAGGCGTAAAATACACAACACGAAAAGACTTGAAACACAGTTTTAATTAAGAAGATTAATGAAATTGTATACTCCGAAAACTGTTAGGTAGTCAGACATTGTCTATGGAGCGCTTCAAAGTGAATAGAGTGAGGGAGGGAGTGACATTTCCGTGGACGTGCTTTCAATGCAGGACTCGATATGTATGACTTTCGGAAATCTTTCAGAGCGTCGCATAAAACCCCTTGTTGTCCAGCAGAAAGGTGTGCGATGTGCCAGTGAAATCTTTGGAAGTTGAAAGGCAAACATCACTAAAGCTTTTTTCCCGTCGCTCGGTTGGGTCGTGACGTCCGGTGCGCTCTCGGGCGCGATTGATTCAGCGGCGGATGGTTCAATAATTCAGCAGGATAACCGGTCTGTACATGTCGCATGTTCCACACGGGAACTGGCCGCAATACTGACAGGGCTGTCAGCCAACTTCAAAATAACAGATAAGTACGGAAGAGTTGTCGAATATGGAGTCCATATTTTATGTTAACAAGGCCCATATTTATGTAGTTTGAAGGGATACATTGATTTGTAGCTTGACGTATTCGAGTAATACATACAAAAATATGCAGACCCCATCTCAATAGTAGTTCCTACGTCGTATATAACAAGGTATAGCCAATAACATTCTCATTTTGCAAATTGTAAACAAAATGGAGAAGCGGTTGCATCGTTATGGATAACAAAACAGCGAGCTATTTCCAATCACACGTTCTAACATCACTTATCAAACATTATATTAAATGGTTCAATTAAAACTTATTTCAGACCTTACCCTGGGTTATTAATGTGCTAATAATTCTTTCTGTCATCGTAATTAAAGTTTAAACGAAGATAGACGAAGTTTATTGCGCTTTGCTCAGAGTTTTGGCTGTTCTTTAAGGTGATATAGATCAATTCCATTAGCACAGTTTATTTTGACTAATGATAGTATCAATTTGCGAAAGAGACGTAATTAGGCAGCCGGAAGCCAGGCCGCAGGATACGTCCACCGACCGCCACGTCCGCGTCGCCGAGATATCATCTATCATTTATTTCTAAGAAAAAAAAACATCCTTAGAACGTTTACGTCACGGACTCAATCTTTTATCGTCCCCATAATGCCCGAGTTTTTGACGCAATAAATACTTATTTTTGACAAATTGATTAATTTATAGTTTATAAATACATAAAGGTACACATATACATATATTTACGTAAATCATTTCACAGAACGACAAACAGTGTAGGTATTTAACATAATCTCAACCAAAAACCAATAAAAATCCATTTAATTGAAATGAATTTTGGGATGAGATATAAGTTCCCAATAAATCATATTGCGTAGCTACCCGTAGAACGCGACATGAAGTTACATTTTGTTCTCATATTTCGATTACTAAATCCATTAGCCGGTCGTGGCTTATCTTTGAATTTATGCTTTTACAACCTAATAAAAACGTTTTAAAACGTTTGCTTTGCTGTTTATAGAATTAAATGTAACATTATTTTTTTAAATTGTAACAACACAAAAGTATGTTACGCCAACTATTACTGTATCTCCTGTTATTATGCTCTTTGGTGATGAGTCAGGAAACAGAAAAAGAATCGTCTTCAAGTGCAGATGACCAGGGAGCGCAGTTAATAACTTCATTGAGGAATGACGCCAACTTAGACCTTTCAGCTGACGAGGAGTACGAGGACCTTCGAGCTGAGCTCTTGGCCTACAACACAGCACTCGCTTCCCTCACTCCCACGCGTAGTAAGTACAATATCTACTAGAGCAAACCAAATCCAATTAACAAATCTTTACATTATCAAACTTTGATTTTAATAATACTCCGAGACCCGTTACTGATTAGACCGTAATAAATTTACATGAATAAATAGGTTTATAAGTTGCTGGCATTACTTCCGAGACAATATAGCAATAATTAAAAAGTCAGCAGATTCACTGCGCTTCGTTATAACCGGGGGCTAATGAAAATGTGTATTTTATGATCAAGTTATAAAAACTTTTACGCTCCTTGTTATAAACGTGCTGCTGTTGATTATGCAAAGTCAAACAAAACGTCTTTAAATTTGATTCGATACTTGGAAGGTAAACAAAACATTTTTAGATAGAAACAATGTAAAATATTAACTCATGGAAAATATTTCGATACCAACTCGAAACGTAATGTTATATCGAAACATTGGCCAATGAATGTTTTCCTCAGGAGCGATAAAAGGTACGGAGTGTTGGAAGCGAAAAGGTATTTGCGTCAAGATGAACCTGTGTGAGGGCCTCCCCTATTTATCGCTAGTACCTGGCTGCAGAAGCAACAAAGAAGTGTGTTGCTTGGCGTGGAACAAGTTTATAGTTAAAGACCTGAAACACCTCGGTATCGGTAAAAGATACGAGTTTGGTGGCGGCCAAGGCATTATATTGAAATGGAAGGAGAAACCAGTTGACTTACAGAAAATCGTGGATTCCCCAGTAACCAGAGTAAAACGGAACAATGTTCATAAAAGAGAGAATAGAGTTTCTGATATTCCCGTTATGATTATATTCAGAAATAATAAAGAATGATCAATTTCACTCACTCGTTTTGTTTTTCAATGTTACATGTTAGTCTTTTTTTTATCTTAACATTCTGCAATCAACGAATGAAAAACGAAACCTTAGAATTAAAACATTAAACTGCTTATCAGACGTCGTTTCGTCTTTTTGATAATTAAAAAGTCAATCTTAAAGTTTTTAATGTTTTCTAAGATTGTCAATAGGCATGTAAACTAAAAACCATGTTACTGTTCGGCGGTGGCATTATTGTGTTAGTTGTTTCAAATGTGGGAGGTCTAAATGGAAATATGGTGGTAAACGGAATGTTAAACCAACCCATCGATATATCTAGTGGCTACAAAGATGTATTCCTTCCTGGATTGAGTGGGAAACCAGCGCTTGGTTAGTTAAAATACACTACCACTTGTGCTATGCTACCCATTCATTTGTCTTTCATCATAAAGTGATTGTTTTTTTTTCTATATAAGTCAGTTGCCCCAAAAGCTTTGTAAATGAAGATTGTAACGTACACCCAGAAGGCAATTTTAATTTTTCTATTTCTTGCTCTATGTCACTTCAATGCTTAAAGCACTTTAAACGATTATTCAGTAAGCACTTTTCAATATTACTTTAAAACTAAGTATCATTATTGTCTGAGTGAACATTTTTCTATGTACACTACTTAATTGTCCAGATTGAACCATTGAATCGACAGCAGGACAATGGATCTGAAAAGTATTCGAAGATTTCTATGACAAAATTGTTCATTTCTAACATTGACGTCTTACAGGAACGACTGCGTTGACCTGCTGGGCACGTGGCGGCATCTGTGTGGACATTAAAGAATGCCCCTCACTTAATATGGACATAAGTGTTGCCGGTTGTGCTTGGGGCTACAAAGTATGTTGTAAGGTCCACGAGCTCCTTTCTCCGACCGTGAATGCCCGCAGAAGATACGCCATACCTGTCATAAGCAATATCGATGAATTGGGAACCTCGTTGGACATTATCGCACTTAGGAACTCTATGCTCCTATCGAGCTGGCAAAATGATAAAAAACCAGAAACCGACCGTGTACACTTGGAGAATTTATTTAATAAATAATTTTTTGTAGCTTTACTGTTTTCTCAAATATGTCCTATAATTTTTTTTCTAAATTAAACCTTGCCCTACGCTTGGATTTTCCCCTGTGTCGTGCCGTGCGTTTGCAAACATACAATTTTACATACACATCACACCCAGACTGGAAACATCATTTTGTAGATCACACAAAGTGTTTTTCCGTGATGGAATCGAATCCGCAATCAGTTGCCTAGCCACCACGCCAAACGTGCAGTCAAACAAATAATTCAAATGACATTTTACCATCTGTGAGGGTTTTCGGTATCATTTCGACTAATCGGGTGGAAGTGTCCTTTAGAACTTTCAATATAAAATATTAATTTCAGCGTCCATACGCGTAACTGCAAATCTTATGTATCATAGTGAGGGACGTTATCGATAGCCTAACAAACTAAATACAACCAAAACTGGAACAAAATCCGCTATTCATAGTGGAAATTCACATCGATTTCTATTTTGAATTAAATTCACACACACATCTTACTTTATGATGTACTGTAAAATCACAAATCTCTGAAAGAATTAACTATTTTATTTAGAAATAGATCGTCACTAAGAATTTGAAGTGGTACTGTCGGCGAGTAAGGGTAACTCGCTGCCCAACCAGAGCCAGACCAAAGCGTACGGCGATCAGCGCGTACGGAACGCGCCACTCAAAGAGCCAATAGACCACCACAGACGAGGTCTAACGGTTTGGATCAGGGACACGAAACGAGGGGTTTTAAGTCAGTAAAGAAAGACCCTGAAAGTAAGGGCAGACTCTAAGATGGAGATCCCAGAGTACTCCATCTCATAAAATCTCTTATCAAATGTCTTTACTCGACATACCCTAGAGAACAAACATACGGTGAATTTTCCGCTTAAAAAAATGCTAATTGATCCGAACAATCAAATATTCTGAAGGGAAACGCAAACATGCATTAACCTGGGTCTCACGTACCACAGAGTACAATTTGAGCAACACTCACACACAGAAGCTAAGCTTAAGTGATACCAATTCATTAACCATGAAGTGCCTGTATTAAGCTTACTATTGTATAACAAAGTGGCTCATTCAGCCTCACCACCGTGCTTGCCAACAATTAGAATGTATATTGCATAACATCTTGAAGCCTATTATAGCATTTTCGTGTATTAATATTGAAGTAGTTGCTCCCTTCGAACTTGATCTTAATGTATTCTGAGCCGTATTCCGGAGATAGGTGTACGTGTTTGTGTATAAGGGTGCGTTTACAGTGCCATATATTTATTGTGTCTCTTTTTAATACTGTCAAGAATCGAACGAATTTGATCTTGCATCAAGATTTCACATCCTCAAAACTACTTTTTGCGTTAAATTTTTGGTTATAATTATGTATTGTCATTTGATGTTCTTGATATTATAAATAGTTCTGTAACTATTGTAAATTAAAAAATCTCTTTCACCACTTTTCATAACCGACATGGTTTGAATACAAAACTGGTAATAGTAGATACCAAAACAACCATCGGACTCGAAACAAAATAAAGTCTACTGTGAATTCAGTGAGCGGAGCGTGAAGTTAGAAACTACGTCCACGGACTCTACGGAATACTACCGATCCAATTAGTACCAGCACTCCTCCATAAACAAGACAATAAAAATAAACAACGCAAATAAAACTTCCAATCTCACGTCCAGAATTTACCAGAATATAGAAAAGGTGGAAAAAATCTCAAATTGTACATGATCCGTAACAGTCCTGGGTACAACTGAATCCGTGAGCTCTCGACTTAATAAGGATTCTTGGTTCAAAGACGGGCCGTTAGTTTGAATGCGTGCCAAATTAGTTCACCTCGACTGGGCCGCCTTCAACATTCGTAATGAACACAACTAAGTTTATGTACGAACATAAGACCGGCCACAAATTACACTTTGACGTGAAATTGTATGTACGTAAACTAAGATCATGACGCTTAAGTAAACGGTAACTTATACGTAAACGTTAGTTAAACCGTTAGTATTCTTAACGTGTCCCAACTTTATCCAGAACCCTCGGTAACGAAGTAAATTCTGTGTTAACAGCGGCTGTTACTTCTGATATACACTTTGAAATTAACATTTGTAGCGGGTTGGATTAAAATTAATATTATATTAGCTTTTCTGGTAAACATTATATTTTCCTGTCAGTTGGTGTAACAGAAATGTTACATAAATGTAACTCAGATTTATTTTGCAATCTCGAAAAAAAAACAAACAATTCCATTTCTCATTTCTATGCGAATATAACCCATAATATTTTTTTCTCTACTGGGATTTGACGTTCATCTCTGGCAGAGATAAAGTACTGAAGACCAATGAGAAATAGACAGAACGTCATGTATTCAACGCTTCTAGGTTCATTCAAATTAATTACCACTTTATAAGTCAATAGATTCCACCCTGAGCTGCGACCGCGTGGTATGTTGATACAAAGCAGCCTGTGTTTATCCAGTGTATCTTCTATCTACCAGGCCCGCTCTGTCATAGCACGTTGTCGACTGATGCGTCATGGAGGAGGTGGAGACGAATTCCGATCACCAGTATATCCGGTTCGGCATTTCCGCAGAGTCCTGCGGCACGCGTTGGCTCTCTGAGGCAGCTGGACCGGGAGCTATACCTGAAGCCACAGTGGTACAAGCCTGGGGGCCACCACTAGTCAGGCTTCCAACGTTAACGAAGAAGCAGGATGGCTCCAGATCCTCCAATAGAGGCCCGTGGTATACACTCATGAGTCGTGGGGGGCCACGACTCATGAGTGTTGAAGAGCCCTGCTTCGGCACGAATAAGTCGAGTCGACCGGAGTGATACCATGGCCTCACAGAAAACTGGCGTGAAACAATCACAGCGTTGTGTTTCACCGTGTGAATCATGGTGTAAAACTTACATTAGTTTACGTGTAACTTATTAAAAATTAACATTGCGATCTTCACCAGGTTGAATTAAGTTTTTTACGAGCGAAAATGCGAGTAAGATGTAATACTTGAGATGAGGTGTAAAATTTTCATTTCTTCAAACAACGTTGTTATATACATATAAAGTTATATATAATATGTAGTTACTTAGTACCGTATACATGTTTGTGTGAGATGAAATGTTTTTTTATTAAAAATAAATCTTAAGTGCAGGATGAATAATCAAATCGTGTCAGGTTTCAGTTGTTTCTGAATCACAATAAATAAAACATTGTCTCTGAACACCCAAGTTTAAAACCTTTTTTACTTATGACTCACCATCATCAATAAGTATCATGTCAGAGCTACAAGACATTTACTGGTAAAGTCAATGACCTCAAAATTAAACGATCAAAAATCATTCTCTTTTCATTTTATACGTAGAACTATTCAAAATATTTTCCGACCCAGCATTTATTACGGAATATTAAGTTCCGTCGATTTATTGAATAAAATTCTTTTCAACCACTTTTTGTTCGGGCCCGTACTAAAGCGGCCTAAGTAATCTTCCGAATAAATTGGCGGTCAGGATGTTAATTAGGGAAGCATTTAGCAGGATAGCCATAAAAGGCGGTGCAGATGATCAATAGTATTTATCATGGTAATAGCATTAGCAACGATGATAAAAACGCAAGTACATAGACTTTAAACCAATACAGTTAAAAATATTTTTTACGAATTTATGTAGTTTGGGAAAACTAGCTAGCGTCAATCACGTTCGAAATTTATAGCTTCAAAAAAGCATTTCGTTTTAAACCAGCCAGCATTTCTATTTAAGACGCCCTCTTGAATCTTTACTATCCATAAAAGAACGAATTTCTTCAATCATTTTAAAATTCTAAGAAAGTAAATTGCATGAATGAACTGTTAACGATCTCCACTTTACTCTGTGATTCTAGTTGCCATTATTAATTAACGATAATGAGAATTGTTGAAAGCGTTATAGAATTTTTAGTTTCAAGTTGGATGCTTTGATCTTTCTTTTATTATTATGAATAGAATTTTTGTTTGTTGAAGCATTATTAAATTATAGACTTTTACTTAACGTAGCACTTTACTGGTCTGGAGGTCATAATAATGAAGAATAACTTTGAAGTCCCAGATTCTGTTAAATATAAAAAAGATATAGGTATCATATTCAAGGTATCTGAAACAGCATCGATAAGTCATAATATTGTTTATAGACGAAAACCTTCAAATGCGCTGTCATTTGATCTCTACATACTGCAACGACAGAAAGGCTAGAGATACCCCCATAAATTAATTTCGGCAATTTTGCGCAGGCGATCGTAAACACCGTCCAAAAAAGTATAAAACTGTCTAGTCAATATTTTGGTCCATACATCAAACTATTGTGTGCCCTAAAATCATTCTTTGATATGTTCACCCATAAAATATTAATGATGGTAATAAACGTCGGTGGAATAAATGTGTGCACGTGAAGTTGGACCTGGGCCATGGAAGTGTCATGGCGGACAATCAACTGGGTTATTAACATAACTGTCGCGCTATTTAGCGGGTTCGGGATCACGGCATAATATTACTTGTTCACTGTTTAATGACACTACCTAGCCATTCGGGATAACACTTTACATGTCTCGTGGCTATTAGCCTTTTCCAAATAAATTAAAGAAGATAAATACTATATATATACATATACATATATATTATTGATAAACCTACTGATAACATTTTTAAATCTTTGCCTTTAAACCATCTTTAGGATTCCACTTTCTCTGCCGCGTATTTAGGGCTCCGGAAATCACGTGATGATCTCTAACCATAAGCGGCAAGCAGCAACAGCAAGTCAGGTTTATCTCCGCTTGACCAGAACTAGACATCAGTAAAGACGCGTCGAGTTCCATGTGCTCCTAAAAGAGTCAACAGAGCAACTCAGATGAGATCCGATGCCCAGCCAGGGTAGCGCGTATGTGCGTACCACGACCCGACTCTAAACAGAGAGGACATAAGAATCTAATAGTCCCCGTCGTCCCACACAGGTGGGGAAAATTAATTGGATGATTTTACTC